TTCTGTAAAGAAAAATTTGAGAATTTTCATTGTTCCATTATAAAAAAAAGCGCATTTATTGAAATTTCCAAATTCTTAATTGTTATATAAAGCAGAGAAAATAAGCTAATTTAGTTAAAAGATGATTCATCTGGAATATTTATTGAAATGACTCAATTCTCAATTTTGTTGTTCTGTAAAGAAAAATTTGAGAATTTTCATTGTTCCATTATAAAAAAAAATGCATTTATTGAAATGTCCCAATTCTTAATTGTTATATAAATCAGAGAAAATAGCTAATTTAGTTCAAAGATGATACATCTGGAATATTTATTGAAATGACCCAATTTTCAAGTTTGTTGTTCTGTAAAGAAAAATTTGAGAATTTTCATTGTTCCATTATAAAAAAAAGCGCATTTATTGAAATATCCCAATTCTTAATTGTTATATAAAGCAGAGAAAATAGCTAATTTAGTTAAAAGATGATTCATCGCGAATATTTATTTTAATGACCCAATTCTTTGTTTTTACTGTCAATTAAATAGAGTTGAAGAATTTCGTATTTACCATTTATTTTTCACTCGTTATGACCCAAATCCGATCAAATTTTTTGCTTTATCGTCATCGAGAAAGAGAAACGCAGCTGCAGTGATTTACTATTTCGTTTTGTTGTTATTTTTTGTTAAGCAGAGAAAAATCGGGGGAAAGTTTATCGAGCACGAAATATGATATTATTAATGACGCAAAAACGTATTTTGTAACAGTGTTCGCAATTGAGGTGGAAATCCGTTTTATTGGGCATAAATCAAGTTTATTTTCGTTCGCCGCAAATTGCCGACGAAAAGGGAATGAAACAAACAGCTGGAAAAAAAAAGAGGAGGAAAGTTGAGGCAAGAATTATCGAAGCAGCAGATTTTTTTGTTTGTTATAGTTATATTATTAATTTCGATTGGGAAACGCGCGTAAATTTAGAGTAACAAATTTATGCGCGGTACGAAAATAAACGTCGTCGAATCAGTATAATATACCTGTTGTTAGTTTAGCTTCGGTGAGGAAGAAAGAAGAAAGATTTATCTGCGTGAGGTTTGCGTTTTTTTTTTCTCCTGTTGCTTTTAAAAATACGCGGTGATTTACCGTGAATGTGGATGGAATGGTGAGGGAGAGAGATGAAAGGAAAGGTTGAAAAAGTCTGTTAGAAAGAATAACGAATAGCCGATGGGAAAAAATATTGGCTGCTGCCAAGGGGAATGTCAAACAAGATTAGTCACCTGGAAGTTATTGTGGATGGAAGAGACGAACGGACAGACGCTGAGGCTTCATTTAGGATTGCCAAAAATGTTGCCACAGTGCTCCACACTAGATCATTACCTCAATTATGTATTTTTGGAACGTCCGAACAGGTTGGTTTTTAATAGCTGGATCAATTCCAACTCGAAAAAGTATCTATAGGTGCGTTAGTCACGGAGACCACCGCACTCTATTTCCGTTCACCATCTTACTCATTCGACTCTCTTTCCCAATACCTTGATGACTCATTCGCAAACCCTCATTCAACATCATCATTAACTTCTTTGCTAACACCAATACTCGATCCGTTGTTACACGGATATCGTTCATAATTAATGCTGTTTAAATTACTGCCAATATTAATTCCATCCGATTTGGCTAGTAAGCGGATGATGCGGGAGGTTCGGGGATGGCAGATGACTGGACTGAACTGGAGCAGATGCAATTAGCGAATTCCGTGAATTAGTTATGATATTATTCCTGTTGTGTAATCAATGCACGACGCGCCGTATTTATTTTACACGCGTCCAATGTACACACGTACTCTGTCCCAAATAAACAAATCACCTCTACTTATTTTTCATTTTCTTCTGTTCCTAAACCAAATGTTTTCCTTCGCATCTTTGACTTGTAAACTATAGATTTTTAACATTAAATTTTACATATTTCAACACTTTCTGCTAATAAATTTATCATTTAACCCGATGTTAAAATAATCACATTTATATTTCTGCAATTAAACAAACTAATACAAACATATTATATAAAAAAAAATCTTATTTGTTTTGTACTCACTCCAAATGTTTTTATTCGCATCTTCTTTCACTTATAAACTGTAGATTTTAAGTTTTACTTATTTTAAAACATTTAACTCAAAGTTTACTAATAACATTTAAATTTATGCAAATAATTATATTCTCAAACCAAATGTTTTACTTCGCATTTTTCACTTGTAAACTACAGATTTTTAACATGAAGTTTTATATATTTCAACACTTTCTGCAAATTTATTTAACATTTAATCTAATTTTAAATAATAACAACTAATTTGTGTAATTATACAAACTAATACAATCATAATCAAATTAGCTTATCTTTTATAATTGAATATTCTTATTTGTTTCGTTCTTAATCCAAATGTTTTCTTTAGCATATTTCATTTGTAAACTTCAGATTTTTAACATTAAGTTTTACATATTTCAACACTTTCTGCTAATAAATTTATCATTTAACTCGATGTTAAATAATCACATTTAAATGTGTGCAATTAGACAAACTAATACATTCATAATCAAATTAACTTAATTAAATAAAAAAAATAGAATGAATTACATTTTTATTTATTTCGTTCTCAATCCAAATGATTTACTTCACATTTTTCACTTGTAAACTGCAGATTTTCAACATTAAGTTTTACATATGAATAATGTAATAATTAAGTGGAAAAACATTATTAGCTATAATTCATTAAAACAAGTATTTTTTGATATTTTCTTTTAAGTATTAGAAAATGTCTATTTTCATGGTAAAACTAAATTATTTCCAATTCATATCTATACTTAAATGAATATTTTTCTGTCCAAAATATTAAACTATTAAAAAGTTACTTATTTATGATCATTTATTATGTATAAGTAGTGAATTACAATAAATTTAAAAGCATATTTCAATTCTATTAAATATTAATGATGCATGTACTGTTTTTGTGAAACGCTTCAAACGTTAAGTTCTTAAGCTATTTTCGAATTGATTTACAGGCCATTATCACCTCATAAACTGTCTACTTAATCATGATATACTATTGGAACCCAAGCAATATTTCATACCAACATTTGAATATTCTTTAATATTTTATACATTGAAAAAGAAATTCTAATCTAATCAAATGTATTTTCTAATATTTTCACTGTACATTATACAGGGTGGGTCAAAAGTCACGCCTGTGTTTAAAAATTAAATAACTCTTTAGTTTATAATTATTTTTTATTGTAATTTTCAGATTTTATTCATCAATCATTCATTTTTTCTTATGTCTTCATAAAAATATTGTAAATTTCAGTATTTTCATGTATTTTCATCCACAACATTCAATATTATAAAAAAAAACATTATATATATTTCAGTATTTTCATTTTTAAATGTATTAACATTTCTTCACAATTTAAAGTAATTCATCTTTTCCGGTGTCTTCAATCCATTGCAATATATACATCTTCTGTATTTTCATCATTTCGTGTTCAATATTGAAAGTGGATGGACGTGGATGTGGGTGGTAGCAGTAATACATTTATTGAGCGCATGTTTGTACATACATATTTTAGGAGAAAGTCCAAAAGGGGAAAAATTGGGAACGGGAAAAGTTCTGAAAAGACGGTAGAGTTTTTATTGAATGGATGAGACGGCGCGCCGGAACGGAAGTAATTCGAGGTTAAATGACCCAAAGAATATCCTCCACACAGACAACCTCTATACTTAACGTCCGAAATAATATAGAAACGAAATACACACAAACACCAGTTAAACGTGATGCCCTAAATTTTCCCGTCAGACTCAACACGTTGGTAATAATTGTAAATAGTTAACGTATGATCCGGTCTATACTTAAAGACTAATTTATAGTAAACAGGAAAGTGGACCGAGGCCGTACGTTTTCAGTTATAATAATGATTTAATGATAGCAGACACCCAAAAAGAAAAAAAACTATAATATAAGTAATTTTTCTACACGAAAAATAAAAACCTTGGAAATCTAAATATTAATAAATCATCTCAATCTCTTACTTAATAATTGGTAATCTTACATAATATTTGATAACAAGTATTTTTATTTGCAAATTACTATTTTTGTTTTAAAGATTTGTTAGATAAATTCCTTAATGCATGTTGCAAATTATTAACACGAATGTTTGTGGTAAGAAACTTAAGGTATAGGAAATTTGATATTCCAACATATTAAACATTGTCGTAAGCATCAAAATCTTTTGTATAATTCAAAACTGAAAGCTGAAATCTCGAGACCGAAACTAAGTGGAACCGGGAAATCTACTTGCAGCAAACTCAA